ATGTGATGTTTCTCAAACACATACGCTAGCCACAGAGGCAGCAGAAGCGTGCGTCGAGCACTCACGTCCGACTCCCTCACCACAGAGAACCTTCCCCTTTTTTAATTTTAAGATAACAAAGGAACGTCGGCGCGCGCCACAGAACCGAATGTGATGCCCACTTCCAACCACTCCCTGAGCAACGTTTGCATCTCAGCATCCATACTACAACAAACACGCTCCGGGCGACCAAACATTATGCAACCACTCTGTCGCGACATTCTAACACAATACTAGTTTTTACCATCTGCAAACCATACTTTACAAAGCGTTGGTACCTTTACCTAAGTGGCAGCTACAACGCGCGTGCCGCGTGTAGATACTTCATTTACTTTCGATTGAACTAGATCCTGCGAATTCACACAGACTCGATGTGAAAACGAGGTGGTATTTATCAAACAAACAAGAAAAAGATGTAATGTGACTCAGAACTCTTAAACATTAAACTTACACAGTTTAATTCAGCGGCGTAGATAGCAGGGGGGGGCGGCTATACATGCCCCATTCTGTTGGTGAGGTGTGGATGGAGGAACGGGCGAGCGAGGTGTAACAATATCACCCTAACTTTCAGGAGGAAAATGGGTGGAAAATTTCATATTTTACAGACATAATAACTGAACATTTATCTAAAATCCGATAATTGGTTGGACATTCGCTGTGTATTCCATTACTTCTTCCTAAGTGTATTATTACACAAATGAAGAAGTGAGATCATGGGGCTGGTGGTACTGTAAATGTCTGTAACTTCGATCGGATCAGAATGACTTATGTTGTAGCTGAAATTCGGGGAACGAGCGAGGGCGGGGGTGAGTGGAGGGGGAACGTCGTTGGAGTTATTTGGACGCATCTCCCTATACCGTTGTGTTTCCAGAAATCCCCAATCAGTTTATCAATGCTCACGAGTTGAAATCTTTGTTATTATTAGTCATTGAGCATGTCAGATTGAGCTTTGTAGAATCGTCGTTGATCGTCTAAGTCCGGTCGTCGTGCGTGTCGTCAGTCGATCGCTACGTCCGTCAAAGTGGGCACAATCTTAACCCGCTCGAGTACGGTCATGATATTCGGGTCGTTGAGGGGGATGTAACGAAGATTGGGTCGAAGCTGGGGGCCCCAAAGGTCAAAGCGGTCAAGCAGGTGTAAAGAAGGGGGAAATTCACTCCTGATCTTAAAGTTATAGGGAGGAATGAAGAATTGCGACAAATCTAATACGGTGTGCTCGACTAGGCTCCCATGTGTGGCAGCACTGGTGGGGGCGCTGAAGAGAGAGAGAGAGAGAGAGAGAGAGAAAAGAAACCAGACAAGGAGGGAGGAACAGGCCGAAAGCACGAGCAGTGAGGACAGCGAGATGTAGAGGGGAGATGGAAAGCAGAGAAAACGGGAGACAGAAGAGAAGGGAGGACAGGAGAGGAGTGTTATAGTCGGCTCAGAGTGAGGGAGAAGAGGGAGAGAGGTCTATAGCACTGGAATGTAGGAGAGGCCATGGACGCATGATGGCGCGGAAATTGGAGGAGAGGCACAGGTCAAGAGTCAATGGACAAGGGCAGTTATTAGACATTTTTCTTCGAGGACATGGCGTGACGAGCGATGAAAAACTTTTTTGTATTTCAGGCGAGGTGATAGCCATTTTTATGAGGGGTTTATTGAAAAGGGACCATGAAATGTCCCTTTGTGATGCGAAGAGTAAGGTCGGAATAACTTGTTGACCCTGCAAGAAGAGGAGGGGTTAACATGGATTTGTGGAACTGTAAGAGGAGAAGGAGGAGTGTGAACTGTGTTTTGATAATCTAGAGCCCCCTCACCCCCCTCCCCTTCGCCTCCAAGCCGGTCACGCATGATCCCCACCGTCCCCACCTCCATCTGGAGTGGAGTGGGAGTGTCCAGTGAGACAATGGGAGTAGTGTAAGCAAGCTGCGTGTCTGGCATATCTGCGGAGCACTACAAATGTCAAGGGTTATACGCAGCGACTGCAGGTATTGGTACGTATGTGAGTATCGTAGGAAAGCAACAGAGCCGTTTTAAGATGGAGCCAGGAGGACGCTGTTGGCACGGCTCTGTTCAAATTACGGATAGACCTGATGGAGAGTTCGGTATGAATCGCCATATCTGGAATATATACATTTTTTGAGATGGGGGATGGAGGGCGAGATCAGACGGAAAAATATTCCGAGGTTCTTGGTATAAGGGACGTGACAATAATGCATCTTTTTAGGTTCCAATGTGAGTGTTTTTCTTTATACTTTTTTGCAGTTTAGCGTTTCGATTAATTACGTTTTATCAAATTTTCAGAGGGGGAGATGATTTCCAGTGGTGTAGTTGGTCGTGGCGGGGTCAGGGATAGCGAAAGGTGCGTCGCACGCCTAGATTTTCAGGTCAAGGCTTTTTAGGCTAAGGGCTCAAGTGGCTGACGACTTGGCAGACGCCGTGAGGAACTGGGTGAGGCCCTACATAGCACAAGAGTTAGTAGTTTAAGGTATTTTTATCGTCTTTGGTGCGCCCCAAGGATAAAAGAATCTCAATCAGCAGGAGAGTATTATAGAGATATTATGTTGTCTGATGAAGTGTTTAATAATGGAGGGCTCAGAGTGCAAGGAATTGATCGGAAAGGTGTGTATTATTTAGAAAACAATGCGGGGTGGAGGTCCCCGGACGGAGCCGTAAAAACCGAGGAGCGGGACACCCCGGAAGGAGGAGGAAATCTGCATTGGTTTAATGATAAGTAATGTCGAAAAAATTTTAGTTTGATTGAAATGGATTTGAAATTCAAAACAGTGGCAGAGACGGGGAACCACCTGTGACTCGCGCAACCGGCACTAACCGCCATCAGGCGCTTCGTGCCTTGGAGCTCCCGCACATGAATTCGCGGCGGCCGACACACACCCTAGAATATTTGAATCCGCATCATGGTTGTAACGAGGACCGCAGGCCATATAAGCAAGGTCATGGTGACCTAATTAGTATTGCAGTGGACGAGACCCAACATTAAGTTGCAACCGTAGCAGAGGATATACACAGCTGAGGAGCTGCGTCTCATGTTATAACAGTTCTGCAGATCTGTTTGGATGAATAGACATGTTGTAGTTGCAGCCTTGTAAGCACGATGCGAATAAACCCGTATTAGTTTTCGGTAAAGATCTAAAAAATGAGATTTTTGTTACGTTGATGCTTATTTGATGAATTAGCCCATGTTAATTCTATAATTGAGGTGTATAGCATGTATTCAGTTGAAATAGGGAATATGTCCAGCATATGTATTTGAGGCAGCTGTTAGTGACTGCTGAGGAGGAGGACGCATTAACCGGGGCCAAAATGTATACCCCAACAATTTTGACTTTTCTGGTCGATTTCGACACAAAATATGTATTTTTCTTGCATAGCGACCTACATAGTTATCACTGTGTCAAGATGGCTGACTGTAATCATGTAGGGAGTGACTCGCCGGCATGATAAAAAAACCGGCTTTACGCATGTAGAGACACGGCAGGGAAAATAACAGTAGACATGTACCCTTGGTTTACAGGTACATCTGAAAAATGGAACATTGTCAGTCTACGTGTGCTTAATGGTTATGAAGATAGGCCCATTTTTTGTATAAGTTGATGAGTATACTATCGAATGGTTAATTTTATTGAAATAGAGACGTAGCAATTATTTGGGAACAGTTATTGCGCGTGGCTAAGGGGAGTGTAACGGGGCCAGCACTGACACATAAATAAATATATATATATATATATATATACATAAATATATATTTATGTGTCAGTGTGCGCGCAATGGCGTCGGCGTGTGTTTACAGTTGAAACGCTTCAAGTGCCTGTGGTGAAAATGGCGTCGCTACTGCCAAACCACGAGGCCCGCAAAATGTGAGTTTTCAGTCGAGCTGAGCTGTAAACCTGGTTGCATGTTTGAATGACCTTGGAACGTCCGCGCACATGAAAACTTACGGCGCGTGCTGCTGTCATAGTAGGCTATTAACATTGTTTGTGTGCTGCGCGAAATTGACGTTGTTTGAAGGTAATGTCAAGCAGTAAACTGTGAGTTGATACGCTGGGACAGCAACGCGCTGCTGTCATTATAGTGTCAACATTGTATTGGGTATTGCATGGAGGACTCTGGAGGCCGTCACTCACGCTGGGATGACTGTGAGTTTCTCCGGGAGTTTCTAAACTGATGGCGACGTGCTGCTGTCAATTTGCAAGTGTGGATTGGTGAATCGTGACCTGCAATGTGAGTTTGTTGAGTGACATGTTCATGCTGTATTGCCGGTCATGTTGTGTTTGTGTGGATGTCGGAGGCCGGAGCTGGACAGTGACGTGCTGCTGTCGAGTTTGTTTGTGTACTGGACACACATGGGCGCTCGTCGGCCTGCATGTGAGCCATCCAGCCCTGCCGGCCGTGTGGTGTGTGACATGCAAGGGCGCTCATTAGGAACATTCTACATTGTGCATGTAAGCCAGCCTGCTAGAGTGTTTGACATTGTTATTTGGTAATTTGATGTTGAAAACATAGTCTAAGAGACTCGGAACTTGTGCACATAAACTGTGTTTGACTGGGTTCTGCTTTGTGACCTGGATTTGTGCATTTATTGACTGTTGTTTGTGTAAAGTCAAAATAACTGAGAAGGAGATTGCCCAGGCTGAACAGAAGAGAATAGCAGCCAAGGGCTGGGTGACAAGGGAACGTAAGAAGCTGACAGGGCTACTTGAAGAACATGGAGTGTACCAACTTGCGCTAGAGGCAGCGATTGGAGCTCTTGACAGGAGAATAGCTGCCTTTGAGGAGGTTCAACTAACCATGGAAATGCTACTTCCACTGGACAAGGTCGAAGAGGATGTGGAAAAGACAGGCTTATTCATGGACATTGTTGAAAAGGTAAGGCTGCAAGCATCAAGGCGTCTGGCATCCCTCATGCCACCACCAGGAGGTTTTCCCGACGACACAGTGTCGCAGTCAGCATCACCATCATCAGGAGCAAGGGCGCAGCTTCCAAAATTGGAGCTTCCGACGTTTACTGGTAACCTAGAAGAGTGGCTGTCCTTCTGGGACCAGTTTCAAGCCTTGGTGGGAGAAGCAAATCTTTCTGTTGTGAACAATTTGTGTATCTTCAGTCATCCCTTAAGGGACAGGCGAAGGGGGTGATTGAAGGGTTGGCTACTACTGCTCAGAACTACACTGTTGCCATTAAAATGTTACAGGAGCGGTATGGCAGAACGGAAAGAATTGTGTTCAGTCACATTCAGAGTTTACTCCATATTGACTCGCCTTCTCGTGCTAGTGTTGCTGATTTATGGAAACTTCAAGATCAGCTACTTAAACATGTTCGTAGTTTAGAAGTGTTGTTAAAGGGATAGGTATATGGCATGTTCCTTACACCTATTATCCTCTCACGTCTCCCATCTGGCCTGAGGATGGAGTGGGCTAGAGACGGAGAGGGTCACGAGAGTGATCTTGAGTTTCTACTTGCTTTTCTCAAGAAGGAGATTGAACGCAGGGAGCGATCCGAGGTGTTCCAGAGTACTGCGCAAGGGGAACACGAGTGAAGCAAGTCACATCGTACTCAATCAGTAGCCTCTTTACAGACTTCTAGTACTGTTGTAACATGCATGTTTTGTGATAGGAATAATCATGAATCTGAGAAATGTAGGGAGGTGCTGAAATTGTCCATCAGTGAGCGTAAGGACAGAATTCGCTCAGCAGGACTGTGTTTTCGTTGTCTTGGCAAAGGCCATTATTCGAGAGAGAGTGCAACTATTTGTACTAAATGTAAAGGACAACATAATGTATTAACTTGTCTCAGGAAAGTTAAATTTGGTACTAATGTTAACACTAGTATTGGTGCTCCTGCCACTATGTTTACCAACGTTAGTGGTAATGCGGGTAACGCTAGCGCTTCTCCAAACACTGTGACGTCTGATGTATCACATGTTCATGTTTGGGTGACTGCTAGTAGACATGATTCGACTCAAACTTGCTGTGTATTGCAAACAGCCAAAGTTACAGTGTGTGGGGAATCTGGCAATTGTGTTGAAGCTACATTGTTTTTTGATTCTGGGTCAGATAGATCATTTGTATCAAGTAATCTTGTGAAGAAAATAAAGTCCAAGTGGGTCGCAGCTGAGCCTATTGTGTATTCTGCCTTTGGAGGTGGTAAATCACCAAGCAATAAGCTGTCTAGTGTGTATGAGGTTAAACTAAGGGATAGTAGAGGGATGGGTCACTCATTGTTGGCAGTACAGATCCCTACCATTTGTGCCCCTTTAGTTCGACCTTGGGTACCTAGTCAACTGTTGAGTGCCTTTGATTCTGTTCATTTTGCTGACTGTTATGAGGACAGTAGACAGATTACAGTGGACATTTTAGTGGGACTTGGTGCATTTTGGAGGTTTATGATACCTGGTAGTGTACACAGTGTTGAGGGTTTAGTGGCACAAGAGTCGCTGTTTGGATGGATATTGTCTGGTTCATGGGACAACCCTTCCCCCACTAGCGCTGTTTCGCCCCAGTTGTTGTGTTTGGAAAGGATTCCTGATTCTGTAGTTTGTAGTTTCTGGGAGTTAGAGGCTGTGGGGATTAGTTCCAATGAGGCCGCCATATCGCAGGCTGTCCATCCTGACCCTGTACTAAGGTCCTTTTCTGAATCTGTCGAGTTTGTCGATGGCAGGTATCAGGTGTCACTGCCTTGGAAATCAGAGAAAGCCAAAGGTAGTCTTGTCAAGAACGAAGGTTTTGCTAGGAAGAGGCTTGAAAGTCTTAGCCGTCGCTTAGATAAGGACCCTCAGTTGAAGTCTCAATAGGACTCTGTTTTCGCTGGTTATGAAAGGGAAGGTATCATTGAGGAAGTTCCTTCCACGAAGATTGTCACTAGTTTTCCGACCTATTATCTACCTCACCGCCCGGTAATGCGAGAGAGTAGTGTGTCCACTAAGGTCCGTCCTGTATTCGACGCATCAGCTGCTAGTTATAATGGGACCTCGTTAAATGATTGTCTTGAAACGGGACCCTCCCTTATTCCTAGCCTTGTTGAGATTCTCATTCGGTTTAGACGTTGGCCTGTTGCATTGACTGCGGATATCACCAAAGCCTTCCTACAGATTGCTGTCCAGCGTGGGGACCAAGATGTCCATCGTTTTCTATGGCAGTGTTCAGACTCTGTACGAACTATGCGGTTTGTTCGTGTACCTTTTGGAAACAAAAGTAGCCCATTCTTGTTAAACGCTACAATTAGACATCACCTTGACTCTGTCTCTTCTTCTCCAGCTGTTGATGATTTCCGTGCTTGATTCTTTCTCCTATGATGGTCTCGTTGTTGATGCATCATCCGATGTAGTTGACACAAAGCGTGCTGTTCTCAGTCTTATTGCCAGACTTTTTGACCCATTAGGTTTCCTGAGTCCGTTTATCATGTCTGCAGAGATACTGTTTCGGGAAATGTGGAGGTTAGGAGTCCAGTGGGATGATGTTTTGCCTGATAGCATGCAACACCAGTTTTCTAGGTGGGTTGCCGGTATTGACTATCTGAAATCTTGGAAGATTCCCAGATGCTATTCAGTTGGTAACCCCTGGAAAACCCTGCAAGGGATTGAACTCCATGCCTTTGGGGACGCATCTGAGAAAGCGTATGGTGCATGTGTATACGTTCGAGTCCCTACACAGACTGGTTCATTTGATGTGTCTTTTGTTGTAGCGAAAGCTAAGGTTGCTCCTATTAAGAAAGTGACATTGCCTCGTTTAGAATTGTTGGGGGCTTTGCTTTGTGCCCGATTGTTGGTCTTTGTTAAGACATCGCTCCATCTTGCTGAATCTGTTTCTTATAGCTGTTGGACCGATTCCCAGGTCGCTTTATCTTGGATTAATGGCGACCCGCACAGGTGGAAAACCTTTGTTTGTAACCGGGTGTCGGAGATCCAGACCCTGACTCCCCCTAGTATTTGGTATCACTGCCCTGGCTAGGTTAATCCTGCAGACCTCATCACTAGAGGTCTATTTGCAGAGCAGTTAGTCTCCTCTAGTCTTTGGTTGTCTGGTCCTGATTGGTTATCTGATAATCAAACCCTTGTGAATGAATCTTCTCATGGCTCTGCTGCTAGTGAGGATTGTAGTCAGGCAGAGAGGGAATATGTTTTATGCGTGTCTGTCACCCCACCCCCTGTAGTCTTTGAGGTTGATCGTTGGGGTACAATGAATAAGGCTATACGTGTTGTTGCTTGGGTGCTGAGATTTGTTTATAATGCTCGACGTCATGCTGCCGAGGTGTCTGGACATTTCTCCTTTGATGAGTGCTCTCAAGCCAAGAGTAGGTTGTTGTCAAGTGTTCAACAGGTGGCTTATCCTGATGAGATAAATGCTTTAAAGCTTGGTAAACCCCAAGGGATCATCTCTTCTCAAGCTTGATCCTTTTCTAGCTAGTGATGGATTCTTGAGAATTAAAGGTCGTTTGGAGTTCTCAGAATTGAGTTATGAGAGTAAACATCCTGTTATTGTCCCTTCAGTGCATCTAGGTAAACTGTTGGTTCGTTTTCAGCATAGTGTTTTGAAACATGCTGGAGTTGCTACTGTAGTGTCTACACTCAGGAACTGTTATTGGATTGTTGGACTAAGAAGATTAGCCAAAACTGTTTGTAGGGAATGTGTTTCTTGCCGCATACAGGACTCGAAGGCTTGTCGTCAGTCTGTTGCCCCTTACCTGGTTTAAGAGTTAAGTCTGCCCCTCCATTTATCATAAGTGGGTTAGATTATGCTGGTCCATTATTCTCTGTAGATCTACCCAATAAGAAACTGTACATCTTATTGTTCACGTGTGCTGTTGTACAAAGTGTATATCTAGAACTTACTGAATCTCTCAATCTCGTTGATTGTTTGCTAGCTATTCGTAGGTTTATTGCTAGGCGTGGCCTTTCTGCTGTCTTTTATTCATACAACGCCAAGACTCACCAGTGCTGCTCGACAAGTTCAGAAGTATTTTGGCCCGCTGTCTCCCCAATGGAAGTTCATTGCTCCTCTGTCTCCATGGTGGGAAGGCTGGTGGGAGCGTCTTGTTAGGTCAGTAAAATCTGCGCTCAGGAAAACCATTGGTGTTCGTTGTCTCACACGCTCTGAACTGGAGACCACGCTCATAGAAATAGTCTTCTATTAACACTCGGCCCTTGACTTTTGTTGGTGATGAGCCCGGTGCTTCTCAACCGTTAACCCCATCTCATTTTTTGATTGGGCGTCCTGGTGGGTTTCAGTCAGATATTGCCAATTTCCAGGTTCCTGACATATCAACTCAGGATTTGAATGACCGGGAAATTGTTCGTCAAGCCCAGCTTGAAAGGTTCTGGAATGTATGGACAGATGACTATCTTAGAAATCTTTCCCCTGCTGTCAAGGGATTTTTGCCTCAGTGTGCTCTCAAGAAGGGGTCTGTAGTTCTTGTTAGGGAGGACCACATTCCTCGATTATCATGGCCTCTTGGAATTATTGTCGAGGTGTTCCCTGGTAGGGACGGACTAATCAGAAGTGTCAAAGTTAAAACTGCCAAAGGGGTAATTACTAGGTCAGTGCAAAGGTTACATGATTTAGAAATGTGTTACTCTGATGTAAATGAGGATTCTGAGAATGTGCCTACTGGGTCATCTGATATCAGTCAGAAAGCTGGTCTCAAATCTGTCAAAACTAAAGTCACTGATAATGCTGTAACAATATATAGCGCTCATGCGTAGCGTTGACTCTGGCTAAGTTTAGAGGATACGTTATATGGGAACAATAGAACATGTCTCCGGCATTGGTAATAAATCGAGTTTACATTTAGTTTCACTCTCACTCTTATCTGCTATTATGTCTCTGCATAATTACACTCCTCATCAAACTAAAGATTTGAACATGGTGTCAGAAGTGCCTGAACTGTGAACAGTCACAGTGGGAAGCTTGAACTGTAAGTGTTCCGTACGAATTCACGTGATATTCCGGAGTGCTCCGACTCGGACAGCCTCGTGATTCCTGAACAAAGGACTACAGTAGACTGTGTGGAAAGTACTGTAGCTATGGCTCTGCAACGTCTCCCTCCACCTTCGAAGTTAGAATTTAATTCTAAGACCGGGGCCAGTCTTGCGAATGACTGGAAGAAGTGGAGGGAAGAGTTTGTACTGTATGCTGAACTAGCACTCAAAGAACACGGAGAGAGTGAGAAAATAAAAACGCTGAAATACCTGATAGGCCCTGAAGGTCGCGAAATTTACACGACACAGAGATGGGAGCAGGAGGAGGAAGACAGAACGATAGAAATTGTTCTCCGACAATTTGACACATACTGTCAACCGAAGAAAAACGAGACTATAGAGCGTTTCAAGTTTAATATGCGTGTACAAGGTGACGAAACACTTGAGAAATTTATCACCGATGTGAAGACGCTATCTCAAACGTGCAACTTTGGGGATCTAGCTGACTCCTTAGTGCGAGATAAACTGGTATGCGGTGTAAAAGACCAGCATCTGAGAGAAAGGCTATTGAGAACTCCTGAGCTAACACTGGATAAAACTATTGAGCTAGCTAGAGCAGCAGAGCTCACGAAACAAAATGTAAGCACTTTAGATGGAGGTGCAGCTGCAGAGGCAGAAGTACACAAAGTGAGGTATACACAAAGGAAGGTGTACCGTAGTCCAGACTACAAAGGTAGAAAGGGACACCCTCACAAGGAAGAGAAACCAAACGCTAGAGAATGTTTGTACTGTGGCAAGACACATGTACTGAAACGAGAGCTATGTCCTGCGTATGGACAAATCTGCAGAAAATGCCACAAACCGAACCACTTCGAGGCAAAATGTGAAAGTCTGCACAAGGGGAGAAACCAGCCTCGCTGGAATAGTAAAGGTGCGAGACAGCATATCAACGTAGTCACGGATGATTACGATGTGGAGAATTATCATGAGCTCCTCGTTGTTCATGAACAACCTCGCAAAGATCACGACGAAACCTGTAATTCTGTGCGGGCGTCAGGAGAAATCTTTGCAGCCTTGGACGTGGGTGGTCGACGGGTTAACTTTCAAGTGGACAGTGGTGCAACGTGTAATATTATACCGAAGGACTTGGTACCACGAAATGCAGAAATGAGACCTACGAGGAACATCCTTAGAATGTTCAACAGGACCACTGTTACTCCAATGGGGAAATGTCTACTAGAGATACATAACCCCAAGAATGGATCAGTACACACAGCAGACTTTGTGGTGGTGAATGAAAAGTGCACACCTCTGATCGGGAACGTGCTGATACAGAATATGAACCTTGTTACAGTACAGCATCAAAACATTCTTAGTGTAGAGAATGTACCTGAACCTCACACGTCGTCAGACATTGTAAGCGAGTTCGCGGATGTCTTCAAGGGTACGGGAAGATTTAAAGGGACATACCACCTGAGTGTCGACCCTGATGTAATTCCGGTCGTACATCCTCCTAGGAAGGTCCCTATTGCGATAAAGGATCGGCTGAAGGATGAACTGGACAAGCTTGAGAGCATGGATGTCATAGCTCCTGTGACCGAACCTACTGCATGGGTGTCAAGTATGGTGACGGTAGTGAAACCGGAGAAGCTCCGTATTTGCATAGACCCTAAAGACCTGAACAAGGCACTAAAGAGAAGTCACTATCCTCTTCCGACTATCGAGGAGATCTTGCCGAGCTTACACAATGCCAAAGTGTTCAGCGTATTGGACGCAAAGAATGGATTCTGGCACGTAGAACTAGACAAAGAGAGCTCGCTACTCACTACATTTAACACTCCATTTGGGAGATATCGCTGGCTTCGGTTGCCGTTCGGTATTTCATCAGCACCAGAAGAATACCAGCGAAGGCAGGACCAGGCTGTTGAGGGTCTGCCTGGCGTGCACAGTATTGTGGACGACATCTTGGTCTATGGCGAAGGGGACTCTGAGAAGGAAGCCATCGCAGATCATGACGTTAAACTGAGGAATCTACTGGAAAGGTGTCGTGCGATTGGGTTGAAGCTCAATAAGGGCAAACTCCGACTTCGACAGAAAGAAGTTCGCTTCATCGGTCACCTAATCACAGCTAAAGGTCTCAAGCCAGATCCGGCGAAAGTGAAAGCAGTCACAGAGATGCCGGAACCGACAGATGTTGCTGGCGTGCGTCGATTCATTGGATTTGTGACGTACCTGAGTAAGTTCTTACCTGGACTGAGTGACCAGTGTGAACCACTAAGGAAGCTGACACAGCAAGACATGGAGTGGTGCTGGCTGGAAACACACTCAAATGCGGTGCGCGAGATAAAACGACTGGTGACTTCGCAACCAGTACTGCGTTACTTTAATGCAAAGGAAGAAGTGACTCTACAATGTGATGCATCGGAAAAAGGACTGGGAGCCGCTCATCAGATGAGCCCAGACGCTTTGCGGCTCTTGTTCAAAATTAGAATAGACCTATTGAGAGTTCGGATATTGAATCCCATATCTGAATATCATCACATTTTTTGGTGGGGGATGGAGGTGCTGAGACCCGACGGAAAGTATATTCCCGATTTTGTATAAGGGGTGAAAATATGCACTTTTTGGTTCAAATCTGGTTGTTTTTCTTATACTTTTTTGCAGTTTTAGCGTTCTCATTAAAATCTACGTTTTATCAAAATTTCAGGGGGAGATGATTCCAGTGGTGTAGTTGTCAGTGGGGGGTCGGTAGCAAAGGGTGCGGTCGCCCCCCCCTAGAATTTTCAGGTCAAGGGTATTTTAGCCTAGGTAAGTCTGCACTGGTAACGCCAGTGAGGACATGTAGGCCCTACATAGCACAGATTTAGTAGTAAGTATTTTAGTCTTTGGTGCCCCCAAAGATAAAAATACTCAACTCAGCAGGGATATTATTCTGATATTATTGTGATGAAGATTGTTTAATAATGCTGCCTCAGAGTGCAGAAAATTGCATCGAATAGGTGTTATTTTTTAAAAAAAATCAGGTGGAGGTCCCCCGACCCCTAAACAGGAGCGGGACACCCCCGGAAGGAGGAAAAATCTCATATTTTATGATAAAGATGTCCAAAAATTTATTGCTTTTAGATTGCAACTTTTTAACAAATTCCACACAGTGGGAGGGGGACACCTCCTCCAACACCCCCCCTCGGGCGCTTCGTGCCCTTGAGCTCGCATGATTCGCCGCACCCCCTAGAATTAACTTCTGGATCCGCCACTGGTTGTACGCAGGGGCGGATTAAGGCTCACTGGTGCCCTAATAGTGCAGTGACCGAGACCCAAAAAATTAAGTGCACCCCTACCGGAGGTATAACAAGCTGGGACTGGTCTCATTTTAACCGTCTGGATCCCAGGTGACTTCGCAACCAGTACTGCGTTACTTTAATGCAAAGGAAGAAGTGACTCTACAATGTGATGCATCGGAAAAAGGACTGGGAGCCGCTCTCCTTCAAAATGGTCAACCGGTTGCATTCGCAAGTCGAGCACTCACAGATGTAGAAACGCGCTATGCGCAAATAGAGAAAGAACTCCTTGCAGTGGTGTTCGGACTCGAGAGATTTCACCACTACACGTACGGTAGGCAGGTCACCGTCCAGAGTAATCACAAACCTCTCGAAAAGTCTCTTCACTCCGCTCCGAAGCGTTTACAGCGAATGCTGCTACGTTTACAGAGGTACACGTACACAGTAATGTATCACCCTGGAAAGTCAATGTACCTAGCGGACACTCTCAGTCGCGCTTTCTTGGTAGACAAAGATGCTCAACTGTAAGGATCAGAACTCTCTGACTACGAGACCATAAACATGGCTCAAGACATTCCAATCACGGATGCACGTCTACAAGAGATCCAACGGGAGACAGCAAAGGATGAGACTCTGAAGGTACTACAGGATGTGATCCTACATGGCTGGCCGGAAAAATACTCTATGACTGCTAGGGAGGTCAGACCCTACTACCACGTACGAGATGAACTCGTAGTGCAGGCTGGAGTTGTATTTCGAGGCGAACGCGTAGTGATACCAAGGTCACTGCATTCCGACATAACCTCAAGAATTCACTCGTCTCACGTCGGCATCGAAGGGTGTCTCCGAAGGGCCCGTGAAACTGTATATTGGCCCAACATGAATGCTGAGATTCGCGAGTACATCAGTCGGTGTGAGAGCTGTCGGACCTACGAAAACAATCAGCAGAAGGAAACTCTCATTTCCCATGACATACCGAACCAACCGTGGTCAAAGGTCGGGTGTGATTTGTTCGCATTACATGAGAAAAACTACCTCATAACCGTGGACTATTTCTCAAACTTCTGGGAAGTTGACTATCTCCCAGATACGAAGTCGTCGACGGTGATAAGAAAGTTGCGTGCTCAGTTTGCACGGCACGGTGTACCGAACACGGTAATCAGCGACAACGGCCCACAATTCAGTGCGGAGGAATTTCGCAGATTCGCGAGAGAATGGGGATTTGATCATGTGACATCATCTCCAGGCTACCCGCAAAGCAATGGGAAGGCGGAACAGGCTGTGAAGACAGCCAAACGACTTATGCACCTAGCCAAAGTTTCAAAAACTGATCCTTACTTGGCGCTTCTAGACTTCCGCAATACCCCGTCGCAGTCTATGGACAGCAGTCCAGCTCAACGGTTAATGAACCGTCGCACTCAAACGCTACTGCCAATGAAGGCAACTCTACTAAAACCACAGATTCCGAAATCTGTGTCTCGTCAACTATAGAGGCTATAAAGGAGAAACAGGCGCTCTATTACAATCGTGGCGCAAGAAACCTAGAACCGCTCACGGTGGGTGACACTGTTCGTATTGCACCTTCGCAAGGACAGAAGGAGTGGAAACAAGGTACAGTACAACAAGAGGTGTCCACACGATCGTACAACGTCGAAATGGAATCCGGAAGGATCTTGCGGCGTAACCGACGTCATCTACGTAAATCAGCAGAGGACAAGCAGCTAAGGGATGTGCAGGAGTATGAGGACATTCCGGTGACACACTCGGATACAATTCCAAGTTCTCCAAGGACTGCCGATGCATCACTGCGAGCTGACAGGCCAATAATCGCAGGCAGTCCTCCCAAAAGACCGCCACCTGAGTTGAAGACATCGACACGCACTCCAGTGGTTGTGTCGAGATGTGGCAGGAAGGTTTACAAACCGGTCAAACTTAATCTGTGAGAAGTACAGTGCTAGGATGAACCAATCATTATTCAAAGTAGCAACATGACAAGTTAATTCGAGTTTATTTTACTAGAAAGTTGTGTTTAAATGAGTCAGACAGTTTGAAGCATTGCAAGACTGATTTAATTTAATGTACTCAAGATAAAGGGTATATTTCACTTCTATAGAAATCGGAATCGAGATTTTCTTGTCGAGACTCTGTAATGTTTGTTTGTTGAGTAATGGTCAACGGTAATTAGTTTGAAGTTTGTTCTTTTATAAAGGAGAAAGGATGTAACAATATATAGCGCTCATGCGTAGCGTTGACTCTGGCTAAGTTTAGAGGATACGTTATATGGGAACAATAGAACATGTCTCCGGCATTGGTAATAAATCGAGTTTAATTACAGTTAGTTTCAATCTCACTCTTATCTGCTATTATGTCTCTGCATAATTACACTCCTCGTCAAATTAAAGATTTGAACAAATGCAAAGTGTAATTCTTGCAAGTTGAAATGTACTGAACATTCTGTGCCTCAAATGTCCAGAAGTGGTCG